CAGTTAAGCAGCGGTTATACATTTTCTAGTCTATGGACTCCCATCCTTAGCTGAATGCAGAGACTTCTAAGACCCAGGGCAGGCAGAACCCCAGAGACAAAGAGGAGAATCCCTGAATTACAACACAGAGGAATGCTGCCCACTTACTAAGAAAATATGCATTAGGCTTTACCCATTTATTTTGTTACTCCAATAAAATGTGGAGATATGTTTGTTAGAATAGCTAATATTACCAAATTAATTTGCAAAAGTAATATATTAGTTCAAAAAGTACAATCCTTAGCAAAACCTAGAATTATTGTTTTACTGTAATACAAGAGAACTACCAGAAGACTAAAAATACTCTTACTTCTTTTAATACATGAGCATCAAATCTTAATTATCTGTAAATGAATATTCTTTGACCACTTCTGTTTTGAACACCTATTCTGTACTAGGTCCTACGCTACATGATACATAAAACATAGGGAGGAAAAAAGGATTCAAAGATTTTGTTCCTTCATTCAAGGATTTAAAAGTCTTATTATATGATCATTAGATATATATTCTCTCTGCAAACATCTAGGTGTGAGGTGCTACTTCCTGTTTCTATTGGAGAAGAAAAACTATTAGATATACCAAAACTAATTATGAAGATAAATATGTGGGCAAAAAAGAAAATATTGTGGATTTGGAATCATCTGTGCATTTAAGTGCTCCACAGAGCTTACTTCCATTGGTGCAAATCATAGTAAACTAAGTACGTTTTAGTTTATTATTAAGTGCTCTATCAGATGCTTTATTTTTAAAATAAAATAAAATATTGTATGTTATATTCTGTTTTGAAAATAACGGGCTTTCAAAATTTTGAACTTTCCTTTGATTCTTGGATGAATCTGTTAGCATTTGGATATTACGGTTGAGTAATAACTTCTGATTATGGCGGGGGGCAGTGGCTCACTCCTGTAATCTCAGCACTTTGAGAGGCTGAGGCAGATGGATCACGAGGTCAGGAATTCGAGACCAGCCTGGCCAATGTGGTAAAACCCCGTCTCTACTAAAAATACAAAAATTAACCGGGTGTGGTGGTGTGCGCCTGTAGTCCCAGCTACTCGGGAGGCTGAGGCGGAAGAATTGCTTGAACCCAGGAGGCAGAGGTTGCAGTGAGCCGCGATCATGCCACTGCACTCCAGCTTGGGTGACAGAGTGAGACTCCGTCTCAAAAAAAAAATAAAAATAAATAAATAACTTCTGATTATGACGCTTCTGAGGCATTCACTTTTTTCTGAGTAGCTAATGGTAGACAGCAGTATGTCTGCCGTATCCTCACTTAAGTTAGTGGAACACAATGCTGAGGAACCTGCAAAGTAGACAGTCAATCCTGATAGGGCCATGAATGCATATGAGACTTTGATTTATTATCTTAAAGCTAATTCCTGTGACATTTCCTTCTCACATTGTCTAGTTCTACCCTGCTTCCACAGAGGTTCTATGAAATATGCTGTTCTACATAGATCTAATTTGAGGTTCCAACTAAAAGGAAGTTTTACTGCTTATTTTTTTCATTGCTCTTGAAATTTTGTTGAGCCTTGTTTCTTTCAGAAGGCAGTTTTACCCATTTAGAAAAGCTATTTTTCAAGGAGTATAAAAAAATTTTATATCAAATGTATCCAGGAATAAATTTATTTTTTTCCCATTAGGATTAAACTATAATTTATGGAATTATATGCTAAATGTAATGCAGAAATATGTATTTTACATAGAATTTAGCAAGACAATCTGTGATCATTATTCATTTGTATTTAATCAATTATCATATTTATTTTATTTATTAATAGATTTGTATCATCATCTCGTATCCTAGTTTTGGGCACAGAGTAGGTGCTCAACAAATTTTGTTGAATGAATTCTTAAAATGTATCGGTATCCACTATATAAGTTACTAGCCTAAGTAATATAGTTCCTAGTCTCAGAGAAATTTCAATATGACTCATAAAATTAAAAACATGCACATCAACCCCTACACACACACACACACACACACACACACACACACATGCTGGAGAGAAATGTTATTAGTCCTTTCTCTTACTTTGAATTTTAATTTTATTACTGATTTTGAAAATTATAAATACATTAATGGTGCCAAGTCATAAATATTTGCATTTAAAATATATGTGCTATCATATTTTTAAACATCCAAGAAATATACATACTGTAAAACTTTATGTATTCTGGATTCTCTAAACTTTGAATTTCAGAATGTTTGAGATGAAATGAACTGAAGTTTACATTTTAGGTGCTTTGAGAATGACTTCAACAATATCAGTACAAGGTTTACTAATCGAACTACAGGTACAGACAAATTGTAGGAGACCCGGTAAATCAATTTAGGAGAAAGTTTGTCAGGACCTTTAAAAGCACATTTGCATATACAAAATCAATATAGCAATTAGTAACGAGTTTCACTCATCTAAGTTGGCAAAGATGTATTTTTTACTTGAAACAGATTTTGCAAATTATTGATTAAAAATTCATGAATTTGCAAGTAAATATTCTACCATTTAGAAGAATCAGCTAGCCTTCTTTCCATTTATTTCCAATTAGTGAGATTTTTTTTTTTAAACTACTATTCATGGCTAGTGGAAGGCATATATTCACAAGGTATTTATTGAGGCTTGGTGTGGTGGCTCACGCCTATAATCCCAGCACTTTGGGAGGCAAAGGTGGGTAGATCACCTGAGGTCAGGAGTTTGAGACCAGCCTGGCCAACATGGTGAAACCCCATCTCTACTAAAAATACAAAAATTAGCCG